TCACCAAGTTACAGTGCTATAGGAAGTGAGGCTGCACCACACTCTTTAGAATTTGATCTCTTGCAAATCTACAAAACGCTGGTTTAAGAGAGTATGGCCGCTCCAGGAACACTCTTCGTACATTTTTTTTATACTGATGGCTGCCAAGATAGTGAGAGAACGCGCGCGCCACCAAGAATCATATGTGCCTTGGAGTTGACGGCAACGACAGAAACCTCATCGAGACTGTCTGTATATATAATTGCTATCACAATAAATGGTATAATAAGTCTGCCCGGCTTGTAAATATTCTCAAATGATTCCCTCACACTTGTTGAGAACTACGCTTATGAGCGGGCCCAGCACGGCTGCCGTTTTTTCAGAAATCGCACATTGACTCCCTCTTTCCCCTCCCTCAAGTAAAAGAAGAAAAAAATGGTTGCGCTCCTCCTATTTAACTAGTCTGTTGCCTTTTGTCATCTTGCCTGTTTGCAAAATGCCATAGTTATTCCCCTGCCGTGTCAGTAGCACGGGGCTCATTCCCACCCATCACACCTTGACAGAATATTTAGGTGAAAAATTTGTGAACATGTGATGTCGCAAATGCCAACTTTTCGACAAATGGATTCATATTCTTCATGGCTGCCTTGAATAAATGCGTCCCCCCTTTCATGTTTGGATTGATCACAGACCCCACACACTTCATGCCACTTTCATTTCTAGATTACTTTTTTTTTTTCTGTATCTGGAAAACGGGGAGTGCTGAGCCCAAAATTCTCTAAATTGATAGGAAAATGCGACTTGGGTGCTCCCACCTCTAACAGTTATTGAGTAGAGTGGAGCATCATCCACAGTGAGCGGTGGCGATTGTTTATTCTGCCACCTACGTAACCAATTTCAAACAGTACGTTCCCACTTGCAATGATTGAGTTGTCTTCATTTTCATTCTTGAATTGTTAGACTGCTGGTTTTCTGATTTGGTTTTTTTTTTTTTTTTTGGAATGATCTATGACACCTGTCATATCGCAGAAACAGTATGCACCATGCTTACCTTGCCTCTAACTCATGTAACCGTCCTTGTCACTAATACTTTTTCACATTTTGTGCAGTGCAGTGAAATCAGAATGTGACCCTTTGGTGCTAAGAAACTGATTAATGGCTGCTCTCTGGATGTCTGCCTTGTCTCCTTGTTTACATTGCAGTAGCATTTCCAGTTTGATCACTAGTAAGAATATTCACCGAAAATTTAGACATGTTTTGCACCGAGTGGACCTAAATTCCGTTTTTTCTGCTCCAAATATGTTCCGAAATGCAGTTCCTCCTGCTTCGAATCTGCTCCAAAGCAGACTTTTCCTGCTCTAAAAATTGCTCTAAATAAACTGGCTGAATCACCACTGCTAATTCAATAGGGGTAACTTAACTGCAGTGCCCCCAAATGTTTCTTTCAGGGTGGGAGTGGTACAGACCGTGTGGACTAGCTGAGATTCTCTTCAGTAGCGAAAAGAATAAAATTCACTAACTGATTAGCATGCAAGAATGCTTTACGGGTAGTTTTGATTTTAAAAGGGGGTCACAGGTGCGCAGCAGCCAATGGCAGTCCTAGGTCCGTACCATGTGATTAAGAGCCAGTTGCGGTGCCCGAAAAACATAGCAAAGGCGTGCTTATTTTTATTATTTCTTGTGTTGCAGCAGCGCGAGAAACCGTTGTTATTTGAAGAGTGAAGCTCGGCTCTTCGCCTCATGCAATCCACACTATCGAGCGGCAGCGCATTATCAGCGGAAAGGTGCTCGAATACTGCTCACTTTCAGTCTTTTAACAGCCACCTTGTGCTCTTTAGTCGCAATATTAAAACATGTCCAGTGGAGTCTCGATGTAGACCTTTTTTTTTTTTTCGGATCAGTAGAAGTATTAATCTTAACAAAATAGGGGAAAGCAAAAAATCAGTTTTCTTTTAGAAAACTTGCCTTTTTCGACCTGAATCTCCTCCTAAATTGAGGACAACACAGCGAGTGATTAAAAGGAAAGTGATAGTTATAACCTTAAAGGGCCCTTAAACCACCCAGAGGTCGAAATTCAGTTGTTGTGGGGAAATTGTTCACTGGTGTACGACGATCATGGAGCCAAGAGAATTTTTTGAAACTGTGCAGTGATAGCGGATTTAGACACATTTGATTATCGATACCATGACGACCACAGCTTTCGCTCTCTCCTGTGCTTTCCTCCTCTTGTATCCTCTCCCACGCCACTTTGCCTTCTTACTGAGTGCCCCTCTCAATTTCATGCGCTGACGCGCTGCTTGAAACACCCTCTACTTCCGGTTGCCGTGACGACGACCGCCGACTCCGTCAGTTGCGTGCTTGTGGGGAACCGTGACTGTCGTAATCGTGGCGGTATGCAACCTGCGTTGCACACATGCCTTCAAATGATTGCCAACGCGATGGACCCGTACAGGGACACGCCGTGCCCTGCACGTGTTACACGTTTGCAGGGAACACGACCAACAACAGGCAGCGCGGACAGCTGCTTGCAAACTCACCAGAAGTCGTAGGCTCATGCTTGACAGCATATTTGGCATATTTGACTCGGCGCGCCAGAGATGTGGTAGGGCGCGTCATGCAGAGGCCCGAAAGACCCGGAAAGAAGGAGGGATTCTGTCTTGGAATTTGTGGCCCACCGGCGGCTCGTAGTGCTGCCACGTGCAGAATCGTTGATCGCGACGGCATTCTGCACACGATGCACGCGTTTACTTGAAATGCGTGAAAAAATATTGGAGGTCGTTTACAGGTATCTTAAGAGATGAGAAGAGAATGGTTTGGGGAACAAAGAGGGGTTAAATATACCATAGTTGGAATCAAGAGGAAGAAATAACCGCTAATCATTAAGGGTAACTGACTGGATTCCAAGAGAAGGCAAATTCATGAGAGGGGGACAGAAAATTGGTAGGCAGATGAGATGAAGTGTGCAGGTATGGCATGGCAGCAGAAAGTGAAGGATTGGGTTGATTGGTCTTTGCCCTGCAGTGAGCATAGTCAGGCTGATGATGATGATAATGATGTAGTGGAGGGCTCCGGAAATTTCGACCATCTGGTGTTCTTCAATGTGCACTGACATTGTGCAGTACGTGGGCCTATTGTTAATTTTATTGTCAGAGCATTTGACAGTGGCGAATTTGTTACCAGCTATAGTGATTATTATCATCAGCCTGACTACACCCACTTCAGGGCAAAGGCCTCTCCCATGACCCAGTCTTGTGCCTTCTGCTGCCACGTTACGCCTGCCAACTTTATAATCTTATCGGCATGCCTAACTTTCTGTCTCCCCCTCGTGGGTTTGTCTTCTCCGGGGATCCACTCAGTTACCCTTAATGACCAGCAGTTATCCTGCCTATGCACTACGTGCCCAGCCCATGTTCATTTCTTATTCTTGTTTGACTATGATATCCTTAATCCCGGTTTGTTGTCTGACCCTCCCTGCTAGTCTTTTAAGGTTACAACTATTATTTTCCTTCCCATCACTCGCTGCATCATCCTCAACTTAATTTTAATCCTCTTTGTAAGCCTTCAGGTTTATCAGCCAATGAAATTACAAATGTCAGCACCGGTTGGAGTGCAGCTTTATTTCTAGTGTATCACCAGTGAAGCATGGCATCTGAGTGATCTCCTGTCTAAATGAGCAAAAATTTTTCCATTTATTAGTGACTTGCTTGACAAGCTCAGCACTAAAGCTTGGCATGGATACTGTATGCACCAGATTCTAATGCATACCCAACTTTGTGACTTTGTAGTATAAAGTCGAGGTGCTTGTGAATGTTTGTATGCACAAGATTTTAATGCATACTCAACTTTTGTGACTTTGTAGTAAGAAGTTGAGGTGCATGTGAATGTGATGTGCACTTGACTAATGAAAGAAAATTATGGCATGCCCTTATGTTGATATTTGGATTGTTTTTCTTTTTTTAACTGACATGCATTACGTGCACAAAAGGAATAATTTGGTTTCTACTGGCGTTAAGGTCACTTCTGTAGTGGCCTTAATCACATGTCATTTCAGGAATAACTGCCCTTGAAAAAAGTGAACGTATGCATGTTGTCTGCATGGAGTTTTTAGTAAACAAGGGAGTGTGTAGTGTCATGTTCATATGTAACAATAACGATTGCCGAAATTATATCTTATGCGTTAGCAAATAGACGCAGCCTATTGAGAGGCTTTTCTCATTTGTGTTTAGTTGCACAGCAGGTTGATTCACAGTGCACTGTGCTTGGGGCTGTGGTGGCCTCTGTTGTAAGCTCATAAACTTTGTTTAGATTTTGTTTCTTGAAGTAATTCAATATTAACTGTGTATGGAACCGTTAATTTTTTTTTGATCGCGTCGGTTTAGCAGAGGGATCCCCAGCACAAACAACCAGCTGAAGGTCTTCTCCCTTTGTTTGCAACATCTCTTGTGTTATGAAAAGATCTTATACTGGTAAATTCTGTGCCTCTTGGTGCTATTTCTAAGTCTGTCACCCAACTTCATTGAATATTTGTGATACGAAATAGTGGGGACTTCATTTGTAAATCTGTGCTTTCAAATATGTACTATCAACAGAAAAAGTTGGTGGGACGTTGGATACACAACAAATGCGAATTTCTGCTATATCAGGGCTTAATGCTTGTAGTTAAGCTGGTCACTGTATAGGTCGGAATGCCAAGTACACTATAAAACATTCATCTCAAAATTATTTTTCCAGACAAAGCGGAAATTTAGTTTTCTTAAACATTTCACATCCCAAAAACTTTTGCAGTTGATAGTACATTCCTCTAAAAATTGCTAAAGATATTTAGTTGGTGTTACAGTCTAATAAGTGGACAAAGCCATACATAGGCAAAGAAAAAAAAATTCTGTGTATTATGAAGCTTGTTAATGCTCACATCTATAAAGTGAATTTTCTTGTTACTTTTCATTTGGTAACTTTAAGCTGTTTCATGGTACATCATAACATGTTACATGTTAACTGTGTCTTTTATTTTTATTTTTCAGAATGCAAAACCAACGAAGCAAGAAACATGCAGTGATGCTCAAAAGCAGCAACGGTCTGGAAGCGACATGGATCAGGATGCCTTCTTTGAGCTGCTAAGCGAGTTCCAGAGCAAGCGTATGGATGATCAGCGCTGTTCTATCACACCGCTGGAGAATAAGGAGAATGTATTGCCAAACGGTTCACCTCCATATCCCAGCCCAACAAGTTCAGGTGCGACTTACAGGGTCTCCAGCTTGGTGAAATTTACCTGAAAAATGCACACAAATGCATGTTTCAATCACTAAGCCCATTTTGTATGTTCTTGTAGGCCCAGAGGACAGTGCTAGTGTTCGAGAGGAACTGCTTGACCTGATAGTAGGCATGCAGAGCCGCCGCATGGATGAACAACGCACCAGCCTTCCACAGCTGCCAGGTCTGCGCCGCAACAACCACAACAATAACAGCCTGCATCACCACCACCGCATGTCTGTCGGATCAGTGCTTGAGGATGACTTCTTTGACATGATCGTACGTTGCCAGGTGAGCAGATACATCAGATATACTTGATGATGGGTGTTTTTTGAGCTGGTTAGTTGGAAGCAGTATACATTAAAGTGTGACATTTATAAACGAAGAAGAATATGCAGTGGTGCAACAGCTGTGCCAATTTGATACAGTTCCCCATTCTTGCTCCAAAATGCTGGACCAGCCTTAAAATTTTCTCAGTTACGCTAATTTCAGCAAAAACGGCGGCCACGTTTGCTATCTGCTTGCAGTTTGCATCATCACTCAATCCAAGTGCGCAGACCCTAATCCTAAATCATGGTTTAAGATATATCCCCATTAAGTCAGTGCACTCATGACACGTGATCGTCCAGATAAAGTAACAAAGCTGCACGCCATCAGTCTGCTGACCGCTGCAAATACTTATCGGAGGCACGATGCAACTTGAAAACAAAAAAGTGTTGCTGTAGCCACCAATGCTTCGCGGGAAATATCATCTTCCAAGTCAGCAAACATAACATGGCTATGGCATGTTAGCAACGAAAGCTGGAAGCGTATGCCGTGTTTCCCACGTGCGAATAAACTCGACGTGCTGTAAAAATCGGCGTTGCCAACGAACACGTTGCCATAGCAACGGCACCTGAAACATTTTTCTGTCTTGAAGTTGCATCGTCCCGGCGATAGATATCCGGTGCTGTCGACAGGCCAACAAGCGCGCACAATTGTTACTTTATTCGGTCGAACACACCCTGCAAGCCAGACAAGAAGTTGTGCCCTAAACCTACTCCCATCGCAAAAAAAAAAAAGAAAGAAAGAAAAAATAGGGGGTGGGGGGGGTGTAGCGGTGTTTCATGACTTGTTCCAACTCGTGCAGAACGCTGCTTAATCCGCCTTTGCCTCAGTACACCGATGCCCTGTAGAAAAGCGTATTTCAATTTTGAAGAGGTTGTTAGCGCTAATCTCGGGACGCAGCACAATTTGTTCTATTTCTCATGCGTGTATACGGTGCATAATTTTGAGTACTAGTAAGATCGATGACGTCTGAAAAAGTTACTGGCAATTATTTGAAGCAGTGTATGACATTTTCAGCGCCCTGAAAAAACTGTGTGCCAGTTTTTATTCTTTTGCCACTCCTTCGAAGCTTGGCAGATCCACATTTGAATTCGCGTAGTCAGACGCGGCAAATGCTAATGTGGACATTTTCATTATTTTCTCAGTGAGGTGGTTCATAATACTAATTTTATTGAAATATCAGTGCTCTTAGTCTTACTGCGCGATTTAGGGCATATTGAATAGTTTGCAAATATTTTTTTTTCTATTCTAAATGTAAGAATTCTTTTTCATACTGCTAAAAATTTGTTTTTTCATTAAAAAATGAATGTTTTCTTCCCCGTAACCTGCTCCAAGTTTGGATTTTCGTGCTTCAAAAGTAATATTTTACTGCCCCATAAATTGCTCTAAATTCTGTTTCGGCCGTTTCACCCCTAAATATGGCAGCAAGGCATTGTTCCCGAACCAATTAATTTGAAGCTTCTGTCTGGCTACTAATACCCCTGCCGCATGTGGCAACTTAAGCACACTTTGAGCGAGTGTATTTGTGCTTACAAAGTGTCACTTTGGCGGTGTGCTGCTGCACAAGAAAGAGAAGTGCTCATTGTAAACGGTGGCAGTGGCAGTTGGTGGATTAGAAGCGCAACATATATATTTATTTTTGCACCCGTGTCTTATCGTCAGACCACATTATCTTCGTGAAGGTAGCACCAATAGCACACGTCATCGCAAACTACTAGAAAACGACTCACCAACACGTGCAAAAATAATGTGGACACTGCCATTAATCGGCATTTGCTGCCGCAAACAGCCCGAGGGCGAGAGTAGCGAGATTTTTTTGTAGTATGCCTTGTTTTAATATGCAGCAGTATTCCTAATAACGGCCAATAAAGTTGTTCTCTCTCTCTGCTAATAACGGAAACAATAGTTTAAATAAAAATACTATGAGGGCCATTTTTTCAGTAGCGTATTCATGTGCAAGTCACTGCTACTGAAGCCACACTCTTCGGCGAGGTTGGCGAACGTACTTGCTGGCAAGTGTACTTCGCAGTGAGTGACACTAAACTTTCTCATCTCACAGCATGCAAATGGCACTCGCTGTGAAGTGCCCTTAAGTTGCCACGTGTGACAGGGGTATAAGACCCTGGGTATGCTAATACTGAACAGTGTAATGGACTTGCCGCGGTGGTTATGGGGCTCGACTGCTGATGCATTTTGGTGGTGTAAAACGCTAAATGCCTGTGTGCTTAGATTTAGTAAGTGTGAGGAAGTGCATGAAAAGACAACCTGCCGCCAGCAGGAAGCAAACTTGCAACCTTTGAATAATGCATCCAATGCTCTACCAATTGAGTTGTGGCAGCGGTCATCCTCCAGTACACTTTATAGGGCATATCTCTGGATTTTAAGCCTTGCAGTGTCACGTCACATCACTCAGAAATGGGTGTTAATGACACCCTAGTCGAAATCATTTGAAGAAATGGACATGGGCCGGGCATGTAGCACATAGGGAAGAGCTGGTTGTGAAGAGTAACTGACTGGATTCCAAGAGAGGGCAAATGTACGAGGGGGAGGCAGAAATTTAGGTTGAGCGGATGAGATTAACTCTTTCGTTACCACGCCTATTTAAATCGATCACTGCTGATCGATGCTTTTGGATCGTCGATTTTGGCATGTTAATTTTGTTTCTGGTGCACCCAACACTTTCTTGTAGTTAGTTCAGGCACTCAACTTTCAGAATCAATTTGAATTTGCTCGTTTTGGCAACATAGTCATCTTTGACAGACCTTTGCACGAACCAATGTGCATGTATTGTTGCAAACATGCACTAGGCTGGCGAACTTGACAGAAGTGTGTGCCCTTCGTGATTATGGTACAGTAACATTAAAGTTCTGTAATAAAAAGAACCTTTGAAAGCCGAATATCAAAGTGTCAGCTTTGCAATTTCAGAATGTTAAACAGTAATAATTGTCATAATAATATGCCAGATATTCAATAGAGAGCTGTTCCTAGGAGTCAAGTGAAATTTGTTCTACAAAAATATATTTTGGAAGGTCCGTTGCTTGTTTAACCTGTTGAAGTGGCCCTCTATGACAGTTTCCAGCAACTTTAGTCTTGCTTGCATTGTTATATCAGACACACGATTGCATCTAGTGTCACCAGTCGCTCCTATGATACCATCGTCACATGTGCATGGGTGCGCACCAGCGCTGCAAAACTCATGCGCTTGTCAAAACTCTCTTGTTACCCCACCTGAATTGAGTGAGGACAAGCTTAGAGTTCGAAAATGACAGCAGCTCAGCTTCCAGTTTTATGGCGATGATGTTTTGCGTCAGCCTGTGACATCCGCAGCCTTTCATGGGTTTCTTTTATATACATTCTCAAGTTGTCTCCTCCGCCACAACTGCGTATAGCTTCTGACCTTTGTGCACAATCGTATAGCTACTCTGGTTACGTGCATGGTCCACACATCGCTGGAGCGTGGCGTGCAGGCGCTTTCTGCAGAGCTTCTAACCACAAGAAGGCTCCCGGAGCACATCTTGGCCCTGACTACGAAGCAGTGCGCAACCTTTTAGAACTGCACACGACATTATCCTTTCTTTAATACGATATGTGCAAAAACGAAAAAAAATATATGCTTGGATGCATATATGGGAACGCCAACCTATGCAGACTGAGGAGGCTCATGAAAAGAGGCGACGCTAGATAAAATAGAGAAGTTCATTGGACACTTCACTTATAAATGAATTATTCACACCATGGGTATCCATCTATATTGGAACACCTGGAGACTTTTTTATCACAAGACAACAAAAATTTACTGAGAAAAGAGTATGAGTACGCTTGTGTCTCGCGAAAAACTACAATGCTTTATCGTATGGCACAAGCATTGGTGTAGCACCTCAGTTATGATTTTCTTGGTATATGCGAAGAAGAACATTTTGTACAACATTCATTATTTTTTACACTGTTCCCGGGTCATTTATCTACTAAACATATAATCTGAATTTTCTTTGTTTTGAATATTTCTGCATATATAGTGTTTTTTATTGCACTGTTTACCATCTGGCAACCAAAAATTCCACGCTTTTCACATTTTTGTTCATTCTAAAATACTTTTGTTGCTCTACAACGTATATTTTTTGGAAGGAGCATATCATTGCGCAAAGTTTGGTATGATGTGATGCATGCTGGAGTACTTTTCAAACTGGCAAAAATGATCTTCCTGACATGTATGAAAAACAACCATTTTCGCGTGGTAACGAAAAAGTTAAAAAGTCTGTTGGTATCACATGGCAGAAGCAAGCACAGACCTAGGTTCACTGGTAGAACATCGAAGAGGCCTTTGCCCTGCAGTGGGCATGGTCAGGCTGATGATGATGATAAAGATCAGTAGTTCTCAGCCATGAATGTGCCGGGGACCCCTTGGGGACTGGTGGAAGTGATATAGGACCCCTTGCAGCGGAGCGTACATAGGAGGGGGGGGGGGGGGGGGGTACGTAAGTAAATTAACACAACTGGAGCGTGAAACAGGTACCTTTATTAGGCTTGTGCAAATAGTGAATTTTAGGTTCGAAATGAATTCGAAGCGAATAGTGATTTTGGTCTAATAATTTTGAATCAAATTTGAATAGTATATATGACATACAAAGAAAAATGGGCATATTTACCATGACCTAACTAACCAGCACAATATATTTTTATATTGAAATAAGGCCTCTATGCAAATGTCATTTTCTTTTCATTCACAGGAACTCAAAATAACTTTCAGTAGTAGGGGATATCAGTTTCAGTAGGATGCGAGTGATAACCTGTAAAATAGGTAATATTTTAAATTTTATTATACTTAGAGCATATAAGTTGTCATAACAAGCTTTTAAGCTTAGTAAAATGATGAATTGATTTGAGGGTAGCATGTTCATTTAAAGGGGCCCTGCAACACTTTTTCAAGTAGCCATGGAGCCAGTAAAGAAGCTTGTTGCCTTAAAAATTTACCGCTGCAAATTTTTTCAAAACAGTTCAAGTATAAGCGGCGGAGTTCCGAAACTTAGTCGCACACTGCAGTTTAATTCTCTCTTTTCGTCCCAATGAAATAGCTGGAAGCTAAGCAGGGAGGAATGGCACGGCGAAAGAAAATACGGCACACGCACCTCGTGACCTTGAGCACCTCTTTTTTTCTTAGAATAGGCGGCTTTTCAGTGTGATCGTGCCGGCACGCCTGGACACACGGCCTCCCGCTGCGGCTCCTGTGAAGACCAAGCACGACATGTTAAATCAGCCAATGGCTGATGCAATAGCTGTGACGAGTAATTTCTGAGCTCATGGTGTCATTTGCCGAGAGAATAAAGCGATTTTCAGCAGGCTTTGAAAATTTACTGTGAATCGCAGGTCGCGTGCTGCGCCATATATTTGGCTCACATGTTCTCGGAAGCCTTGACTACCGATCGGGAGTGTTTTCTGACTATGCTCAAAAAGTGTTGCAGGGCCCCTTTAAATTTGCAGAAGCTTCGCGGCAAAGCGGATTTCCCCTGGATGGCGGCTTTCACGGCTTAGCACTCCGACACTGCAGCAAAACCACCTTTACAAGCCGTTACATGCGGATCAATATACACCTATTCGTTCATTGCGAATACTTCGAAATTTTCAATAATTTAAATTTGAATTAAAGCGAATTCTCTACTATTTGTTTGAATATTATTATTAAAATATTCGCCCAAGCCTACCTTTTATTGCTACCAAAAAAACATCAAATAAACTTTCCACATCACTTCATTTTGGACAGTTCATCAATTCGTGACATAGTCACGCTTAAAGAAAAGTGTGGGTGAGGGTTTCGCGGATCATAGAAACGGTTTTGCGGACCCCCTAGGGTCCGCTGACCACCATTTGAGAACCACTGATATAGATCATATTGTCATGCGTGTGACTTGACATTTGCTTGAGAAAAACATCAAATAAATAACTTTCGTCTGTTTAACACTTAAATAATGAGAACAGCATAGGGTAGTAGTAGTCTTATGGACTGGGCATGCTGTGTTACATTGCAGTGGAAGACATTGTCTGTATATTGTCCTGAGTTTTTCATCAATAATGTTGGTTGCCCTACTAATAACAAAGGTAACACACTTAAATCTAAATTATTGGGGACCGCATGCATATGTCGGAGCACATAGTTATTCTTATTGACAGGCTCTGGATGAATATGGTGTTTAGGCCTCATCCCTTCCTGTTCTGTGTATGCTTTAATGAGCTCTCAGAGCCAGTCTGTGTGCTGCCCCGCCACGGTGGTCTAGTGGCTGCGGCTGCTGACCCGCAGGTCGCGGGATCAAATCCCGGCTGTGGCGGCTGTATTTCCGATGGAGGCGGAAATGTTGTAGGCCCGTGTACTCAGATTTGGGTGCACGTTAAAGAAACCCAGGTGGTCAAAATTTCCGGAGCCCTCCACTACGGCGTCTCTCATAATCAAATAGTGGTTTTGGGACGTTATACCCTACAAATCAATCAATCAATCAACCAGTCTGTGTGCAAGGATGTCGGTTGAAAAGGAGGAGTTGCGCATCACTCTGGGAAAGCTGGTGAAGCTATTCAATCAAGATTTGAGAACCTCTGTAGTATACATGTGCAAATATTCAGAAAAGCATATGGAAAGATGGCCACACTTTGATAGGTAAACCGCCGCACTTACAGTGTTCAAGGTATGATGGGCTTGGTTCCCGCCTTAAATTTCCGCACCTCAATTAAACATAAAACATAGCAGTGAAAATTTCTTATGCTTTATTCATCTCCATTGTTCGCTTTATTAATGTAGCTGTAATGCATGAGAAACCCTCATAATCTCTTCTCGCTCAGTGATAAAGATGTTATTTGATTAGGTGCTTACAGGTGTACATTGGTGACAGTTGGTGTGCAAAAGGCCTAATCATTTGACTCTTCAGTTGGCTTTGCTCTCTAGCACCTCGACAGTCATGTATGGTATAAACATTTGCATTACAGGGCAGCCGGCTGGAGGACCAGCGCAGCAGCATGCCCACTCTGCAGCGTGCCCCAAGCGCTCCTGTGGTGCCCAGCTCACGATCGGCACCAACAGTGCCTGACGAGGACTTTTACTCGCTCATCCTGCGTGTGCAGGCAGGCCGCATAGAGGACCAGCGCACCTCCTTCCGGCCCCCTGATGCCGCCCCAACCACTTCGTCTGCCCCCGTCCGGGCCAGCCTCAAGGGTAGTCTCAAATCGGCCCTCCGGGGAAGCCGCCACTCCAAGTCCAAGCAGTGAAGGCAGCGCATGTTGCTGGTCAGAGGGTCTTGCTCACAAGAAGCACGATTTGTGTGCTCTAGAGTAGCCACGCTTGTGAGGCCTCTAATAAATTCCTGACAGGCTTCCTCCTAATCATGTCCACATAAATTTGAGCTAACAAAGGGCAGTTGTGGTCAAAAGACCTGGCAGGAAGAAATCGTAAAGTTGGTGCCACCAAAGACTCCTAGTATATAGTTTGACTGAGTTTCAACTGTCCGTGTATAAAACTCATTTCATTTTATTGAGTCTTGTCCATAGCATATGAAATGTATTGATAACATAGAGCAGTGCAGCAGTGATTGTAGATTTAATTTGAAAATGTTTCACTGTACTATGTCACCAGATTAATGCAGCTTTATTTTATTTTACTTATCTAGATTTGGAATGCTACAGTTGCCGATACTTTCTGCCATCTTTGGTTGTGCACAGTGGTAGTCCAGCTCAGCATTTACACATTTCGCTGACTAATTTATGCGTTCCTACGTGAAATTGCATGCTGTAAAAGATGTCAATGAAGTTATGCTGTATGACAGCACTATAATTACAAGGTCTACAGTGTTTGTACATACGCTGTTACCTTGCAAAAGTGGCCTTGGTTAGAATATGCTAAAGATGTTGCTTGAGTTATTGACAGCCATTTTTGGTCATGCAGAATTTGGCTAACCTGGTTGTTTCCATCCAGCAGGTACGCTAATAAAAAAAAATTCAGGCAGTCAGTGTCAACCTCTGGAGAACTTGCCTGTATTGATATTATGCTGATGTTTGGAGTACAGCTGATGTCGCTGATATCCTCGTGAAAAAAACAAAAACAAAAAAGAACAGCCACTTCGCTGTGGCAGCCAGCATGCAGAAATACAGCACTTTCTTAGTGGTTAGTGGGAAGATGTAGATTGATTTTGCCAGCTGTTGTGTGATATTCAGAAGGTGTCAATTTGTTGAAAAGTAATTCCTTCATCAACCATGCTTGGAAGATAGGTTCTATAATACTCATAAATAATGTTCATTTAAATGGAATTTATATATCACTTTACAACTATGATTCCTCAGCAATTTTAGTTTAAGGTAAGAATGGCAGTGACAACCACTGTGATGCTGCTGGTGGCTAAGAAGTTCTCACATTTTGACTCAAAAACTGCTTCAAAATGTTAATTTTTTTATTACACGAGTTATAACTCTTTCTGAGCAGCAAGTTCAATTTACTTGGCAGGTGACAACTCTAGGGCTGTTAAAAAAAATTAACATTAAGTTTGTCTGAAGCCATTCGTTTCACTGAAGGAAATAAATATAGGATTGATATCCAAAACTTTTCAGGCAGGCATCTCTACAGAACACTGTTAGTGTGTGTGCTTGTTGTGCTCAAGACATGTGAAGAGGAAGAAATGCGTTAACTTGTGTTCACATTTTTCTGTTCTCACTTATTTTGTAAGCCCTAGTAATAGCTCCCATTCTTGAGCTCGAGGTCCTCATCTTTGTGTGGTATTGGAGTTGTGTATAGAAACCAGCTTGTTAACTCTTCATATTATCCACTGGGCAGTATGAGTTATAATTGCTGGTTGCTTAAAGTAATTATGGCGTAGCCAGGTTATTTTCATAGTACCAGTTGGAGGGCCGTCAAGTGTGAGCATTCATCAATGGCATCACACCTTGATGCAATGACCGTATGGATTATGGTTGCAAATGCATGCTGGCAAAGGTGTTGCTTTTTTTTTTCTGTGAAACAGAAGTGGTGCGCATTAATAATGATTCAGGTGTTTCGTCTTCGAATGTATACCTATCATTTCGCCATGTCTGTGTGAAATGGTACAACTCCTTTTTGTTTATTTTCCTAGCAGAGCACAAAGTGTTCTGAATTTTCTTTTCGACTGAAGAAAATTTTAGTACCATTTTATTTGTGTAGATAATGAATTAGCTATTTTAGTAAAATGTATGATGTATAGTTATGTCATACTGATTCAGGCATTACCATTCGATTTTCGTTACATGCTGCGTATTAGCCTACGAATTGTTTATCAAAGTGCGTCATTGATATAAAACACTTTTGAGTGCTATATGTAGTTCTCATTACTAGATTGGCTACTGCTATAGTGATATGCTGATGTGATGATGTCGCAGGTGTGTTATTTAATAAACCATGCGATCCCTAGTGCTCTGGCCAATGCCACATGGTTATTTGGAATTTTTGTAGCTTTTTATGTCACTGTAAAAAACTTTTTATTGCTACAGCTATATGATTTGGCTACGTATATAATGCATTTATGCTGTGATGTCTGTTTTCTTTTTAGTGCGTATTAGGGCCAGTCCACGCGCTACCCACTCAGCCGTAACACACGTTGGGGACACCTGCCACACCCAAGTGGGGAGCAAATCAGCGAATCGGTGACGCTCTTTCACCTTCTGCTTGGATGCGGCAGGTGTCCTGGCACATGCATTGTGGCTGTGTGAGTAGTGCGTTAACAGGCTTTTACTTCTAAATTTCCTGTACCCTTTGCCACAAGTTTGCAGGCCACAATGCATGTGATGAGAACCTTAATCAGGGCATGTAATGTGGTGTGTGGTGCTTTGGCTGTGTAGGGAGGAAGGATAGTTCACAACTCTGGAGCTTCGAGGGTGCCGTGAATACTACAAGAGCCCTTCTATGTAACTCAAAAACTGCTAAAGTCATCTGATTTGTGGTCTTCTTGCTTTTGACAAAGATTTTTGCTTGAATATCAAATGTTTGGTCTGAACTTGTCTTTCAGATTGTGCACAGTGCATGCGATCTCTATTTAAATTTGTTGCACATCTGGGTGTGGTGGGAATGCTTTGGGTAGTTTGTTAAGGACTTCAGAAACTTGACCAATGGAGCTGACCAAAACTTTTTCCAGGTAAATGTACTTTTGCCAGACATCCTCGACAACGCACAGAAAATCAGTGAGACCCACACCACAGCCTAGTAGCACAGTTAACACATTCCTATGAAGCATTGGCAATATGTATTTGTGATTTTCCTAGAGGTTCGGACATCTTGTCACTGATGAAGCTGAGGAATTTCCCCTACTCCAGTAATACTTTTGTGCTAGTTATGGTGTGACCTTGTGTGTAGTATCTTGCACAAGAGTGAAACATTTTAGCACCAACAATCTTGTTTGTAGCAAATTTTCTCTGGAGAAAACATTCCGTATTCAAGCTGCTGTGTACAAATAGTGCCAGTAGACTAGGCTGCCTGGCTAAACAGTGCGGCTAAACAGGTGGTGCATAAACTTTGGAATACTAGCTTTTTTTGGGGGCCAGTTTAGTATTTGATAAATGCTTTCTTGTTGGAAATATGCTTTTTTGTACTTTCTGGTTTGGCAGATGGCTTTTTTCATGTGTATTCGCTTTCTTTCATAGGCTCAAATGCATAAGAAGTACTATGAGATACAAGAGGCTGTACCACACAACCAGCTTTCTTTAGCAAGCGTATTTTCATTTGTCAGAAATTGTGGGCTTTTGTTGGCAAATTTAGCTTCATATTTGACATGTAGCTAGGGAAGCTGACATATTGGAAGCTCCTTTGCTCACATGGGATATGTAGTCAGCAGGGGTGCAACAGCTGCGCCGATTGCGATAATTTGATACAATTCTGTATTGTTGTGCCAAAACCATGAAATTCACTGGAATTGTGCCACGCTGTGCCAAAATGCTCTACCAACCTCAACATTTTTGCAAGTGCGCTAATTTTAACGAGAGATAGAGCTATGGCATGTTAGCAACTATAGCTGGAAGTGAATGCTGCATTTTCCACGCGCAAACAGTTGACATGCTGTAAACGCTGGCATTGCTGGCAACCATGTTTGTCGCTGTACCAACGGCACATGAAACATTTTTCTTTCAAAGTTGCGTTAGCTGTGTAGTTCTGACTATATATATCGGGTGATAGAACGCACCTGAAAAGCGAGCTGAGAAGTTGTGCCCTAAATCTAACCCCATCGTGAAGGGGGGGGGGGGGGGGGACGTGTGTGTGTCGTAGCGGGGTTTGACAATTTGTTGGCATTCTAACCCGTGGAGAATGCTGCTTAAGCTGCCTTCGCCGCAGTACACCGGTAACCTGCGGGAAAGCATATTATAATTTGGAAGGGGCTGTTAGCATTAGTCACGAGACACTGCACATTTTCAGTTACGTGTGCATCCATACACCGCACAATTGTGAGTACTAGTATGATCTCTGACCTCTGGAAAAAATACTGGTAATAATTTGGAGCAGTCTAGGACACTTCTGTCCTCCTTCTGCGCTGCTTTTTTTTTTTGCCACCCCTACTCCTCAGTTTAACAAATCACCTGAATTTCAAGGTCACCAGCTTGGCAGATGCACATTTAAATTCGCCGAGTCCATCAAAGGACTCGACAGATGCTACGAAAAATAATTTTGACTGTATCATTGTTTGCTCAGTGGGGTGGGTCAAAATACTACTTTTATTGAAATAACAGTGCTCATGTTTATGGTGCACGATTTAGGGGATGTTAAATAGTTTCTACATATATATTTTTTTCTAAATGTGAGCCTTCTTTTTTACAATGCTCCAAATTTAGTCTTTCGTGATAAAAAAAAAATTTGTTTTTTTCTCCCGCAACCTGCTCCAACCTTGCATTTTAGTGCTCTAAAAGTAATATTTTGCTGCTCCAAAAGTTGCTCCTGATTCTATTTTGACTGTTGCACCCCTGAGTCAGCATGTCTTCATTTTCATACATAGAGCTGAGGCTAAAGGTGGCAGAATGGCAGCATGATAGGGAAGGGAAACGGGATTCCTGTTGAGGTGCCAAATGCCAACAGTGGTGTCGTAGCTTTACACACCTGCTTAACTTTGCCCAGTAGTCGAGACTGAAAAAAAAAGAAGCTATACCGGTATGCCCATTTTCGTTGACTTTGCTCATGATCTCATTACTGTGTGACCTGAAAAGCATCTTCAGTTAGTTTTATGCATTGTATTGATTTTTTTTCATCTGTAAGACAAAATTTTGAAGTGTGTATTTTCTATATACAAATTCAGTCTTATGTCCCCCATTGTGCATTAGTTCCTAAAAGATGAAAAAAATTATTCTCAAGCTATTTCTGCCTGTTAGGGGTACAGCTGTAGTTTGTTCATTCAAATACATTAATGTGGTGTGCTAGTGTAGCAAAGCCTCAGTAATGATGCAGAGTTTTTTGTGATCAGCATTACTGCTGCTACCTGAACAAGTGGAGAGTCAATGCTTCATACAATGGTGTAACATAAGAGGTACCATCAGAGCATATCTAATTGGGCTATTTTAGAGAAGGCTACGTTCTCCTTTGACATTAATCCAGAAACTAAGCCTCTTCTTGAAGCTTACTAAGGAAAAAATTAGCTGTGTAGATCATTTGTCTGGAAGTCTCATTATTTTTTGTGTGCCATTATATTGCTTTGTTGAATAGCAAATCTCTGCCAAAGTTATATCGTCTGCTCATTTTTAAGAACACATGCCAGAAATATCAAGTTGATGAGAACTTCATGTAACTTTCCTGTGTGTTATTCTCTGAAAATAATCCAGTGCTGGCGTCACATGATAGATGCCGTAGCCCACATTATGTGGTGCCACTGATATTTCGTGTCATTGTTTTCTCACACACAAAAGCTTTAGCTCTTGTTACAAAGACAAATTTGATATTATAAGAAGCCTAAAGCTTCAATGTTCTTCAGCTTAATGCTACAGTGTTGGGTGTTCTAATGTCGAAACAATGCAAGCTAAAAGAGTCACTCAGTGAATAAGTGTGCATCTTTCTAATTGAATCTCAGATGAGCCGTTTATCTGAAAACCTAAATATCCAATTGGATATTACTGATTCACAGGCAGCTAAAATCATTTTTACTTGGAAGTTTATTTCATCAGAAAAGAAAGCAATCAGGGAACATTTATTAACACTGTTGTGCTGCTATTAGAAAACAAAGCATTGTTCTGGAAGGGGAAGAAAGGCTGAATAAAAAAACTTTATTTTTGTCTTGCTGCCAAAGTAAGGGTAAACAGGCTTTTGGAGCCCAGTTGTATAGGCACTAATCTTCCTTGCATTAATGCCAAAACCCCCTGCACTTCAGTGCCTGTTCGTTAGGGTGAGCAGTTCTGAAAAGCTAATGGCATTGAGTCTCTCGATGACAGATAAGCTTCTCGTGACTGCCTACATCAAATGCAAAGGAAAGAAAACAAAAATGCTACTTTGAAGTATCTTGACCAACTTTAGTGCTTTCAAAAGTTACTGAAGGTGCAGAAATGTGTAGTCTTGTTTGAAATAACTTGCATGATTTCACATTTTATACATACTGTAGCCACTTGCATTTATTTGCCATTACCTGCTATGGTAGCTTAGTAGGTAAGGCGTTGTGCTGTGAAAGTCAAGGATGAGAGTTAAATTCTCGGTTGTGGAAGTCAAACTTCAATTGGGGCAAAATACAAGAACACTTGTGTGCTTATGTTTAAATGCTCATTAAGAGAATCCAAAGCGGTCAAAAGTAATCTGGAGTCCCCCACCATGGTGTGCCTCGTAGTCTTATTGTTACGGCACGGGAAACCACATTCATTTGCCATCACCTTTCTAGAGTTGGATCTCGTATTGCATTATATTTTTCTCTCATTGGATATAGATTTGTAAGTTTTGAATCGGTTTTGACACATTCTGAGGTTTTAAACGTGGTAACCATTGTATTATGATGAGGCATGCCATAGTGGGTTGCTCTGGATTACTTTTTACTGCCTGGGCTTCTTCATTGCACACTTAAGTATAATGTAACGGTGAACATATTCGACAGAGATTTGTCTGAGTGGGTAAAAATTCATATGAATAAAATAAACTCTCTGGCCACTTTTAGTCCTAAGTTTATAATTTTAACATCAAAAACTAAGTCACCCTTGAAGAAAGGATCGAATCAGTCTCGAAACATCAGATTTATTTTTAGTTTTTAATTTTAACATTAGGAACATTGGACTAAAAGTGGCTGGAGACTTATTTTATTCGTATTAAATATAATTGCACTGTTGTTCCTGAATTCGGTCCCCATTGAAATATGGCTTTCAATGTTGAGGATCACTTTTATGTCCCCAAGCTTAGCAGGTGACAATGTGGGAGGCTAATGCCTATTAATTTGGCACTGTTTCAACACGCAGTATGACGTGTTATAATGTCTTTAAAGAAGGCAGCAACTTTGAAGAACCAAATGTCTTGTTTCTTTTGTGAAACAGTGAAGCTTTATAGAAGGGTATTTCTACTTCAGCAGCTACATTTTTTTTAAAGCATTGGCTTGCTTCTTTGTGCGTGAGATCTTGTTGGCACAGGGCCTTGTTTGTTTTTCTACCTGTACGCCATGTGAAAGGTTTTGCTACACGGCGATGATCATTGTACAGTGTGTTAATGTTGGCATTTGTGCTTTGTGGACATTGACTTTCGAAATCGAAACCCTCAACTACTGCATAAAACCAGCAAAGAGAAATGTGCTTTGCAGCTTGTGAAATGGAGACGGTATAATGCTGGTGAAGTGCAGGCCTCCAATAGCACGTCTGGCTTGTAGTTCTGAGCCCTAGGGCAGAATCTCCTGCCTTATAGAGTCTTTGAGGCAGCCTTGCCAGGCATGCTTCAGCAGGTACCTGAACTGCTTGTCTTTTATGGTTTGTGAAGCGTCCCATTGGGAAGGCGTCGTCTGACACACTTCTCTCATCTCTTGGTGATGTAAGACGCCTGCTGCATGATAAAGTGCATATATGCCAGCCATCTGTGTTTTTTCTGCAAGTTGAGACCTGAAAGGTGTGGCTATCTGTCCTTCAGTGTACTTAAATGTCTTGTGAAAACTATTATAAATATGGAAGGTCAGGGTGGGTGTTGTCAAATTTGCATTTATGAGTCGCACACACAACACACAGGTGCACATTTAGTTAACAGTGCTTAATGAAGTAGCTGTTAATGGAAAATTCCACAAATCACTTAAGACCACTGCAAAGCAGTCAACAATGGGCTTGATACCAGGGAGTGACCAACACTACTGCAATTAATGTATATAATGTTCAGGTAGTTGCAAAAATTAAATAAAAGCTGTGGCTTCAATAATTGGCTTACATTCACTTGGTGTGTGTCGATATATGCTTTTTTAATGTTCAGCACAATGATGCCATATGCAGTTCATAACCCTCAAGGGTGTTTTTTTAATGAGCTAATCCATTACACCACACTGAAAATTTGGAGCATGTCAGTAAAACATTTTACAATGCAAGATCGTACGACTGCTTTTTTATATAAACTCGTTTTGTTTTGTTAGCTCATGTCTGTGCAGCTAACAAATATTACTGCTTCATCTCTTCTCAGTACAAGGCAAGTTATCTTTGGATGAAAAAGGACATTTCTCTCTCGAGTATTCATATATACATTTTTTTTGCAGGCCAATTTTTGATGCACTTGACAATTTTCTTGAAAAATAGCACTGCACGACCAAGGTTTTAATGTTAGAAAGAAGAAATGTGAAGACACAAAACACAAGTGAAGTGAATTGAATGTTCA